CCCCCCCCCCCCCCCACTCTGCATGCAGCCGTTAGCAAGTGACGGACTCTCGTGTGTGTAGGCCATGTTCTTTGGCGGCTATCGGGAGTCGAATCAGGGCAACAAAGAGGTGTGCATCCGGGAGTTTGACAGCGACGTCTTCCATCGATTCATCGGGTGGCTGGCCACTTCACTCAGGGCACTCACACACACAGAGCGTCCCGTCCCCACATGATATGCCTCGCGTGCGTCTGTGTGTGTGCAGGTACTTCTATGGCGCCGAGACGGTGATAGAGGGCTCCAATTTTGGCGAGTTGCTCAAGCTGGCCACGTACTACCAGATGAAGTCGCTGCTGGATCACCTGACCCGCGTGACGGACAGCTTCATCTCCAAAGACACCTTCCTCTTCTTCTGTAAGCGCAGCGCACATCTCGCACACAGACAGACACTCGGTGGGCGGTGGGCGAGTGGACGAGTGCATGTGTGCCGCGTCGCGACGGTGTGTTGTGTTGGTGCCTGCCTGCCTGCCTGCCTGTATTTCTGCTGCAGTGGACCTGTACGACATAGCGACTGACGGCATCAGGACCATCATCCACAGACACGTGCAGGGTCGGTCACCGATTTCCTGCCAAGCTTCCATTCATTGACACTTTCACCGTCCCCCATCCCATCTGTGTGTCCAGACTTTGTGACGGAATACTTCCTGAGCGGTTTTCTCGACTCGATGCCGCTGAGTGTGCTCAAGAGCATCTTTGGTGAGATGTTCTGCTCCCACCGGCGGATCCTCAACAACATCTGCCCGCAGCACATGTGCCACCCCGACCTGGAGGTCGGCATCAAGACCTCGGGCATCTCCGTCAAGCGCACATCCATCACGGGTGGGTGGGCATTGTGCGCCCGTCCGTGTGCACCTCAACTCGTGCACACCACACCAAAGTGGAGGGAGGGGTTCTCTGTTGTGGGGGGGTCAGATATGGACTGTGAGTACGCCACCTTGTCTGTGTGGAACACACAGAGGACGGGCAAGAAGTTCTATGAGATCAGGTGCGGACACAACAGCACACGACATGCAGCACCAGCTGTTGCTCACTCTGTGTGTGATGCTGTCTGCTGCAGGTTTCCTTCCTACGGCTTCCCATTGTCCAATCGGCTGATAGTGGGGGTGGCGAGTGAGGAGGCGGGCATCACCGACGCATACAAGAGCGAACACGCGTTCGTCTACTACAGGTCAGTCCACACCCCACCCATCGCACTGCACCGCACACACAGGCGCGGCGGGTATCTGCACTTGTATCCCCATCCCATCCCATCCCATCCGTGTGTCTGCGCGATGCAGTGAGACGGGCAAGGTGTTCAACGCGGGAGTGCCCAAGTCTGTGGTGGGTTTGGACCGGCTGCAGAGCGACGACACGCTGTACGTGTGTCTCGACCACGACAACATGCGCTTGTGGATGAAGCAGACCCACCGGCCCTTCGTGTGCGTCTACAACCTGCCCAAAGCACGGTATAGATGGGGGACGCCGATCCGATCGCAATGGGGCAATCTTGTGTGCATACCAATGGTGCCGGTGTGTGTCAGGTACCACCTGTTGGTGGGCATTGTGTCAGTTGGCCAGAAGGTCGTGTTGGAGACGGTGGAACAGCCGCCCGACTCGTGGCTCGCCGAGACCCTCGACCCAGACCAATCCCCACGGTGAGTGACCCACACCCCACACCCCACAGCCCCATCATGTCTGCGCATCTTGTGTCTGTCTGTGTTTCTCTCGTGCAGTGACCCGCCTCCCCCTCCCTCTCCCCACGCCCCCCCTGGCCCCTCCAACCCACGCATGCCTCCCTCACAGCCGTCGTCAAACACCAACCACAGGGGCGCCGCAGACGCGTCAGTCGGCAGCACTGACGGCACGGGCCTCCCGCAGCCCGGCGTTAGTCGACCCATGCCCGCAGCGGCAGCAGCAGCGGCAGCAGCGGCTGCAGCAGCAGCAGGCCAGACTCCCGCCCCACCGATATTCGGCGGCATGGAGCCTGGAGGCGGCTCTGGCCTGCCACAGAGGCCGCCATCCACCCGTGGGTCGCTCGGCAACCGCGGCGGCCTGGGGGCCATTAGCCGTCGGCTGCCGCTCCTCGCCCCGGCATATGCGCACTCACCGCTCAATGGTCCCGGCCCAGCCCAGCAGCCGCCGAGCGTGAGGCGTGGCGCCATGCCGAGGTCGAACGCCCCCGCAATCGCCCTCAACTCTCTCCCAGCATCGCCCCCGGCAGGCAGGCGGCCCAACATCTCCCTGACGGCCACGCACGAGAGCTCATCTGGGTCGATGAGGGCCACAGCGGCCAGTCGCGCAAACAGATTGCGCAGCGACGAGGGGGAGGGTGACGACTCCGACCGAGGCGAGATGGGTGACGTGCTGCCGATCCCCTCCTTCTACCGAGATGGCCGTGGCACCCCATCCGCACCTGCACCTGCCATCGAGAGGCACATGCGGACTCAAAAGCCGCTCTCGCCAGCGTCGGCGCGCGAAGGAGCGTTCGACCGGCTGGAGCTGGGTCAGCGGCTTGCCGAGATGAGTGCGGCATCGCTGGCGCTGAGGATGCAGTTTCCCGCTGCATCGAGTGACGAGCTGCTGACGCAGCAGGGAGGGGCGGAGGGTGGGGCCGGGGGAGGGAGAGGGGGACAGCATGGTGCCACTGGCGGCGAGGAAGCCCCCTCACCCGAAGAAGGCCGCTCGTCGTGGATGGGCAGCCCTTTCGATGATAACGATGTGGCCCCTCTCCCGGCCTCATCTGCGTCAGCATCAGCATCAGCAGCTCGGTCCTCCACGATCCACCGAGGCATGTCGTCAGACCTGGCGGCCGGCGGGGAGGTCGCCATCAACCTCGACACGTCGCCAGCTAGAGTGCCAACGACCATAGCGGAGGAGGGAGACGCGGCTGGCCGGTCCATCAGCCTGAACATCCTCTCCTCCGTGCCGTCGACGCACCATGATCATGATGACGGTGATATTGGTGAGGGCGAAGACGATGCTGGGGCAAGCGAGCCGGCAAGGGGGCATCTGCGTCATGGGCATGGTCGTGGCAGGCGCCTGCACCGGTCGTCGGACCAGCACCAGCAGCATCAGCGTCTGCTCACCTTCAGCCCCCCATTCGGCCCGTCGTCTCTGCTGGCCCCCCCTCCTCGCAGCCCTCTCGTCGCCTCATCGTCAGATATGGTGTCCCCCTCTCCCATAGCGCCCATATCTGCGCCGCTGGGGTGTGCAGGTGACGAGGGACACAACGGCAGCAGCTCGTCCAGCAGTGGGTATCGCCGGCCGTCTGAGAGCCACCTGGACGAGGTGCGTGTGGACGAGCGGCGGGGGCATGAAGACGAGGAAGGGGAGGACGGTGGTGGGGTGGCCTTGAGAGTGGATGATATGCCTGACCATGACAATGACCATGAGCATGAGCATGAGCATGAGCATGAGCATTCGGAGCATACCCATGAGTATGACGACGGCAATGTGGCCGATGAGAATGGTCCAGATGAATAAGGGGGCGGGGCGGGGCGTGGTGGCGGGGGTAGGCATGTCTGCATGGATAGATGTGTCCTTGTGGTGTGTGTTAATTGCTTGGGGGTTGCGGTGCGCAGACAGACTGCGTGTGCAAGGTGAGCTGACTGAGAGGTGGCAGGGGCATGAGCATCTATGCGCGAGACTGCTCTCACTCGAAGTGGGTGAGATGAGACCTTCTCACACGGGGCAGCACTGAGCTGTTTACAACATGGGCATGTCATCAGTGACGGTCTCTCTGACGTCAGACGAGACCGTCACACGTGGCCTGCTCGAACTCAAAACAGCCCAGTAATGTCCGGACTCGACGGCACTTGTCGATCTCGTGAAATCATTCGCAAGGTGTGTGTGCGTAGAGGTAAATGCGTCGCGCATTGTGTCACATTCATTGTCCCCTGTCCACTGACATGAGACAGACAAGGCACGGCAGCTGACGGTCCGAGAAGGAGAGCGAGAGATGTATACAGAGAGACACGGAGGGAGAGAGAGGTGGGAGGGGGGGTTTAGGGGGGTAGAGTAGAGCGACGGCCCAATGGAATGGCTGGCTGTCCGTCTTTCCAACCAGCCTGTCTGTCTGTCTCTACTATACACGCGTACACATCTATCTATCCATCATGTTTGTCCCACCAGCCAACCCACCCAAAAATCCAACAAAAGAACCGACACAGACAGCCACAAACATTCATAGAGTCTGTTCCCATTGGTTTTTGTATACACAAATACGGCGGGAGTTTTACAGAAGGAGAGAGAGGGAGAGAGAGAGAAAGAGAGAGGGGATATAAACCAAAACCGTCCCATCCATCCATGCATCCCAGAAAGACAGGATGCGTCTGTAGAACCAACCAACCACGCAGGCAGGCAACGAATCAATCAATCATTCATCGCGTCTGTGGCTTATTGGATCCTGGCCGTGGGTGCGGGTTGTGTGACGCCGGGGGAACGGCTGCTGACGGGCTGAGGGCGGCCGCCTTCTTCATCGCCTTCTGCTTGTACAGCTTCTTCTGCACACCCAAGGCCATGATCAGCAGCTTCTCGTAGGACCTGCAAGACACAAGAGAGATTGGCGCCATTTCTCCCTCCCTCCCTCCCTGTCTGTATCTCTGTGTGTGGGGCTCACTCACATGAACATGATGGCGGAGGTGAGTATGGTAGCGACGAGTTTGGACTGGAGGCCTCTGAACATGCCCCCCACGCCCTCCTCGTCCAGTATCCGCACTATGCAGTCCACCACACCTATCACACATCCATCCCATCGCCGGCACACACACAAGTGCTTGTGGGTATTCTCCTCTCCCCCTCCCTCTCCCCATGTGCACCTACCAGCATATCTTGCCGACTTGGACTGCTTCGCCTGCAGCCGGGACTTGACCACCTGGTAGGGGTAGGTCACCACCGTAGCAATCAGCTTTGCGACGGCACCTGCACACACACACACCACAGTGCACCACCGACACAAGACACATCGGCGAGGCGATGGCTGAGTGACCGATGAGGAAGAACTCCAGCGCCGTGAGCTGCGATCTCTGCTGTCCATAGGGCTCCTTCTTGGGCGGCGGGAAGAGCAGCCGACCCTCCAGCCTGTCCCCATCCCTACCTTGCTGCACACAGCCAACCATCGACACACACCACACAGAGAGATGCACACACCAACATGCGACAGACAGACAGACAGACAGAGAGATGTCGTGGACACCCCCCTAGGCAGGTCAGGTACCCACCTGTGCCTGTAGCAGCAGCTGTTTGAGTTTCTCATAGACAGCGAATTGGATGGCGGGGTTGGTCACCAGGATCAGCGAGGGCACCACACCGGAGAGGAGGCCCTGCAGGCCCTCCTCCCGCGCCAGCGCTAACATGCCCTTGAAGAAGTCCTGCTGCATTGTCGTGGACACACAGACACACAGAGAGGGAGGTGACACACAGACACACAGAGAGGGAGGTGACACACATCTACATGTGCCACGTCGCCCGATCTGCTGTGAATGCATTGTGTGCTCTTGTGTCACCTGTGTGCCCGAGTTGGTTTGCCGCAGCTTCAGCCGCGTGTTCACCACCCATACTGACACGCACACACCACACACACACAGAGAGAGAGAAGCGCGTTGATTGTATAGGTATAGTGAGTGCAGTGTGTGTGGATGCTCACTGGGGTTGGTTGCGATGGCGGATATGACCCCTGCACTCAGACCCACACCAAGATTCGTCAACGCCGTCGTGCCGCCGAAATGTGACCTGCACGCACGCACACACACACACACACACACACACAATCACAACGCGCCGGCCACTCCACGCTTTTTCTCACGCTCACTTCTGGCCGAAGTAGGTCTTGAACAGCGCATAGAAGTAGTAGTACACCGCCCACGACGCCCCCACACCGATGAGCGCACTCCGCAGCCCAGCGTATATCCCCGACCACCCCTCCCGCCTCAGGATCTCCTGCAGGGCCGACAAGATATCCGTGTGGGTGTCCCGCCGGGAGACCTGGAAGCGCGTTCTCAGGTTGTCGAGGGGGTACACGAGGGCCATGGCGATGAGGGCGCCTGACGCGCCTGCCAGTGAGTGGGACATGGCGTGGGCAGAGGCTGTCGGCCGGAAGGAGTGGAGCTCCGCTGCCGTCTGATCCATGATCCATACAGACACACAAAGAGAGAGGGGATCAAGCCAGCCCTGTTTGTTGCTTGTGTGTGTGTGTGTGTGTGTGTGTGCGTACCTCTGCCGACTCGGCCAGCACCCCCTCCTGCTGACTGGCGCTGATGAGGTCCGAGAACTTGTTGGACTCAAGACTCTCGACGGGATTCATCGCCTCCACTCGGACCTGCTGTGTGGGCTGCCCGCGCCGGTTCAGACCTTCTCATGCGCCTTCTATGTGATGGCTTTTGTCAGCTCCCTTCGTCAGCTAAGCGCGCAGGCGAGTTTTTTACCAATCGGCCGACTCCCACCGAGTGACAAGCGTAGTGTAGTACGGAGTTAGTGAGAGCGTCGAGATGAATGAGATAGCGCGTGTCCCAGTACGTGTGGAAGAGGATGATTCAGGCGCTGTTCGCCCCCTCACCAACGGCGTCGGTGGCATGCCGCCCTCCCCACCATCACACCAGGCCGCCGCAGCAGCGGGGGGTGAAGCACAGGTACGGCGGATGCCACCACGGGCAAGATGCACCGACACATGCGCACACATGCGGTGATCTCGGTGCTGTGTGGTGTGTGCAGGGCGTGAGTGAGGATGAGGAGCGAGGGGATCAGCGTGCTTCGCATGAGGCTGGGGGTCCTGAGATTGAGGTGGTCGGCGAGGGGGTGCTTGCTGGTGGTCCCTCTGAACCAGAGCACACCAACGGTGTAGCTGACACCTCCTGCCCACCTGTTCAACAACACCAACCTCTGAGTCAGACCGCTGCCGCCGCTGCCGCCCCTGCTGCTGTTGGTGTTGGTGCTGGTGCTGATGTGGTGCCTAAACTCCCACCCCCCGTTGACAGGAAGCAGCTCATACGCAGTCTGGCGGCCGTATCGCAGTATCACCGCGGTAAGCGCACACGCACCGAGAGGGCTGACACACACACACACACGCACACACACACACGTACATGCGAGCACAGATAATATGCTTTACGTGGACCGTGTGTGTGTGTGTGTGTGTGTGTGCAGGTGCTCCAGGCCCAGGCTCAGGTGGTCGTGGCGCTGCAGCCACTTCACCTGCTTCAGCTGGCTTTGGGTACAACACCCTTGCAAACATGGCACAGGCCATGCCACCACCACCACCACCACCACCAGCACCACGACCGTTGGTCGTCCCACCACTCCGCCCGCCTGTGACGAGCCCGCCACACAACCCACCAATGCCCGGCTCTTTTTTTCCGCTTTCCACCATCTCTGCCGGCATGCCAGTCGAGGCTGGCCAGCAGGCGCATCACCCACCACCGAAGAAGCAGACCGCTCGTCCGAGCAAGCCCCTCGTCCCCATAGATCCGAACGAGCCACGAAAGCCGCCAGAGCAGGTGATTAAGGAGATGATGCGCGAGGGCTCGCCGTCGGTGGCACGGCTGACCAACATGGCGCCGGGCGATGCGCCACCTTCTCGCCCACCTCAACATCAGCCACAGCAGCCGAGATACCGCGCTCCCGTCTTCCTGCCCCACGCGGCACCTTTCTCTGGCCCACTTCCCCCTCACCCACACGACGGCATGTCGCCCATCTTCTCGACCACCCCCCCC